CTTTTTCTTTGCTGTTGTTCTGGTATCCATACCATACCTCTGGCAGGCAAGGACTCATTTACGTTAGCTTTCACCATGGGAGCAACAACTCCTGCAGCTGAAGACCAAAGACTGGGTTGTAGCAACTGGGTGTTCTTCAAACCTCCTCTCTTTGCTTTTACCTCAGGTTTGACTAAGCGAGAGCCTGCCGAGGCGGAGAGCAGCACACGCATTGTCGGTGCAGCTGGAGTGTGGGGGACATGGACCTTTTCTCTTTCTCTGTCCCACAGGCAGGAAGGTGACAGTCACTAGAAGACCATGCAGTGCCAATAAAAGGCAATGCAAAGAAAGCAATAGTATTACATTTTTATATTGTTAATACAGCACTGGAAGAGGGTTGTGGAGGAAAGCACTGCAAGCTTCCTGTAAAATGCTGAAGGAGAAAATTATTTTTTTTTCTTCTACATGTGAGAAATGAACACAAAGAACAACAAATGCCAGTGACAGAATTAAAAAAACCTCCAAGCAATTTCAGTAGCAAGTAGCTGATAAAACACCAGTGCGCTCTCTGTTCTTGCTGCCACAGCGGCCAGAAAGAGCCTAGAAAGGTATGATGGAGCTGCTTCAAGAGGCCCCAACACGCTGCTGCAAGGCATAACATTTCCAGACACAGATGGGTACGACAGCTCTCATGCAAGAAAGGCCGAAACAGAAGCTTATTCTTTGCTAGCTGTAAGGAACTTCAAATGATATCAAAATATATGGCAACTTATATTAGCTAGAGAACCAGGTCTTGGTATTTTAGTGGTAGTAAGATGGGGTGTTTCAATTGCTTAAGCAACAGAACAGGCTTTTTTATTTGTTAAACTAAACTGATAAAAATTTTTCTGGTGGGGGAACACCTAGATTTTAAGAAAGAAGGCAAAAAAAAGGGGGGGGAGGGTGTTACAGCAGGTCATCAAGTCATGCTCAGGTGAGTGAGAATAAATACATGATTTCCATGAGACTGGAATGTGGAAGCTGTTGGGCTGATGGAAGTGGAGGAGTCGCTCCTCTAGCAACATCAGACGTGAGCAGCCAACTTGAAGCGGCAGGCGGGGGATTCTGTACTTAGAAGCTCACAAAGCTTGGATGTACAGTTGTCACAACCGACCTTATTCTCGAGGCTTACAGAAGCAAAACTTCTGGGAAATGAGCAGGTGCACAGACATCTTCATGGGACGTTCATGCCATGACTGTCAAGCTCTAGTTATGGATGTCTGTGAATTCATGAGATAAATTTTAAGGAGCTTGAAAAGAGCTACTCTAACAGACAGTATACTGCCGGTAGCTTAAACCCACTCTACAAAAGTGTGCACTTTTACTGCAATATTTAATCAAATTAAAAATACGAAAGTGTGCATCAGAAATAACAACAAGCTGTCAAATTGCACAGCAACAATACAGTGCGTCCCTCTGGATCAGACCCCGGGACTCTGTGGGTGCCCTCTTAACTAAAAACATGCTCCACAACTGAGATAAACCGGTAAAAAGACTTTCCTTGGTAAAAAATGAAGTGGGCATGTAAATTCATAGTCCCCCAAATCTTTCTGGCTCTTCAGGGTATTCATGAAAAGACAGAGCCCTCTGCTGGCTTCTGCTCCGCACCCCTCTCCCCCCCGCCGCCGCCTCCCCGCAGTATTAGAGATCCAAGTGTCAGCACTAAAAGTTATTCTGCCATACGTAGTTTTCTTGGTCTAAATCTGTTAGGATGGAGTGCAATTTAGGTTCCAAAAGCCACTGTTACACCTGAATAAAACTATTCCCATAAGAGAAAGTTAGGTTCTTACCAGAATAGCAAGCGGATCTGTGTCAGTTCAGTCCTGTAGAAAACATTATGTACAAGAGATACTTTCCTTTTGCTAAAATAATTGAAAATCTTTGCTGTTGATGCAAATATTTCCAACAGGTTCAGGTACTAAGATTTCAGAAAATGATGGGAAGCAGGTTAAAATACTTGCCTTTCCCCTAGTACAGAATTCATATGTATTTGATCCCCTTTGTTTATTTTAGTTGAACACTATCCCCTTGCAGAAAAAGCGTGTGCAATATGTTATTTGCTCTTTGCAAATACAAAGACACCAGACCCACCCAGCCTGGGTGGAGTTCAGATGAGAGGAGTACGAACTTCTCGCGTTCTTAACTCTCCAATAAGTATATCCCTTTGGAAGAAAAATGTGTGGGTTTAAAATGTAAAAGCCAAACCTGCGTCATTTCACATCAGTCCATTGCCCTAACAGGATTACTATAGATTAGCACGGTGCTGCTTGTGCTTTTCATTTTAGATCATACCGCTTCATATGGAAGAATTCCTCTAATTTGGAGTCACTTTACTTGAGAAGGGTGGCAAGTAAAGGGTCACCAAGTCTAGGCCCACAGCAGAGGTGATGGGCACCCACTCCAGTTCATCCAACCCAGGTGCAAAGCACTCCCACAGCCCCTTCCTTCACCGCTGCTGTACCCACCCATGACACCAGGTCAAACTTCCATCCCCTGCAGTGGGAGTTCAGCCCTTTCCCTGGGGATGAGAATGCCTTCAAGCAACCAAATTAGGGTCCAGACCAAGTTAAAGCAGTGCTGTGCAGCGTTATCCTGAAAAATAGAGTTTAATTATTGTAGCACTACAAGTGAACTGATGTTTGGAGTTGGAGACCATGACTGAAAAGCCCTCAGACATTAGATTAGTGTGCGGGATGTCTGCGTGCCAACAGAGGAGAAGTCTACTCAGGACAGTCTCACTATTGTACAAAGAGAGGAATGTGCAAATGGCTCTTGGGCGTGCAGAACTTGAACTGAACTTGGGATATTTTTAATGATTTTAGCTTGCATTTATGAATAGCATACCGACAGCATGACCACCTGAAAGAAAATGAAAACAAGAAGCTGTAAAACACAATACATGTGAGGAGCCAATCCAACAGACAAAAAGGAGCCAGAAATTGGGTTTATGCTGCTGAGGAGCAGGATGCCACCGCGGCCTGTTCAGTTTTTGTACAGTGTTACACTTGTTACCTATCAACACTGCAAAAACGCCATCCCTGGGGCAGGTTCTGTGGCTCAGGCAAAGCTGAGCCCTGCTCAGAGGTGAGGCTGGAGGCTGCCACTGGGAACAGCGTTGGTGGCCAGTGGGTGCCTTCTCCAGGTCCAAGCACAGGTTGAGTCTTCTGTGTGATACCAGTATCGTACACCACTCAGAGCCTGGAAGAAGCACTGCCAGTGACCTAGCTCTTACGCCATACTGCAGCAATAGCTCAAGTGGGAGGAACGCAAGCTTGAGAGCCCCATGTAAATGGCTGACAGCATAGAGTAGAATTGGCCTACAGCTCAATCCTTTGGGCCTCCCAAAGGATACAACAGTTTTTAACAAGCCAGCTACCAACTGTTAACATATTTACTCAACTTCTGCAATTTCCTTTGTGGTCCAAGTGTCACCATGCCTGTGCTTTTGCCCTTCGCGTGCCTTAACACAAGCCACAGCGAAGTGCAATTTTGATGTTTTCCTAACCGGTGTACTTGAAAAGACAGTATTTTCAGTGCAGCAAAATTCCCAAACTTGCTGCAGGAATCAGCTAGCCCAGCACTTAGTCGCACAGAACAGCAACGAGACACATGCTGTAGTTTCCTCAGACAAGCTGGCCCCTTGGGCTGTCCCGGTTGCTGCTGGTTGATGTCCAGTGTCATTAAAGGCAGTTGGGAAAGCATCAATGTCACTCATAAATGCAAACGTTCACACACTTTGCAAGATGAGAAGAATCCTTGCTCCCCTGGATTGTTCCTTCCCCAAAGTGCTCTTCAGAGCACCACAACAGACACTTCTCTCTCCAAATTACTGCCAAACACTCTGCACTGATTATCTGGTTAGATCACATACGATCAACAAGGGCTTTCAAAACATCCACATACAGCTCCTGTGGCATACATTGCCTATGTCCATACAAGTTAGTTATGCAGTCCAGAACGATCCTGGACTCCACCGTTGCCGGGTTGGAACTGCAGCATGATCCTCGGCATGGTTTTGGCCTAAGCAAACCAGCTCCATCCCAAACAATTTCCCAGGCACAGTTCAGTAGTCTGCATGAACCTGGGACATTTCTCAATGAGCAGCCTACACACAGTCACCCCGTTTTGGAGTCTGAAAGTGTTCAGCAGCATGTACAACCAGTGTTAGTGCCAGAGCACAATTTTAGGCATGCTAAAAACATAGCTGTTCTAAGTACCCACCAGACCGTGCTGGCACAGAGGCGGCCCGGCAATTTCAGTTTGTACCTGGGGAAATATGAGAATCAGCAAAGCACATCAAGGCCAGCATTGCCCAGATGACACACTGTACATCCAGTCTTGCAGATATTGGTAGGGGTGACCACAACCGTATTTGAAGCTCTGCCCAAGAACAGCCCCAAATGCCATACTGATGTGGGATATTAAAGCATCTTTCCATTTATTCCATGGTTTCACTTAGAAAGAGTGGCACTTTATTAGATAAAGGGCTAGAAATGGTAGAGTTTGGCAGGATACTAGAAAATCATGGAAACAAGAGACTCAAGCAGAATGAAGTAATATAATTAGCAAGAGTCTTGGAGATTGTGTCAGAAGGAAAGCTCCTTCAGATCCAAGGAAAAATACTACATGGGGGATTTCTAAGCACTCATTTTCCATCACACAAATCCACCAACTTTCAGAATAAAACACACATATCAAAGCAAGAAACAGTGGAGATGTTGAATCATATTTATCATGAACTTGGCTGGACCTGTCAATAACAATAATCTCTCTCAGGCAGAAAGTCCCACACACACGATGGACATAGCACAACTGAGGCGACCTGACATGCATTACTGGAAAAAGAAAAAAAAAAAATATCTGGTGTACAAAGAAACAATAAATACCCCACAGAAAGACAAGGTATAGGAAAACACCCTCACAGATCAGTATTTTCAGAGAGTTTATTTATAGAATTTTCATTTCAATTTGGCACACAATCGCAAAATGCTAATACAATTTGGTGGGACAACAGGAAAAATGCCGGAGTGTTGCTGGCCCTGTAATACGAATCACAAAAAAGGAACAATCGGGATTGAAAACAGTATTATCTGAAAGTGGGCTCTATCAGCTGCAGACCGTAAAAAACCTGAAAGAATTAGAACCTTGAGACATTGGGATGACGGTTCCAAGCCCTCTAGTAACATAGACGGCAGCCGCCAGAGGAGAGTTTAACACAGCCCAGGTTGTTTGCTCTACTGGCAGAAGCTGAGCTCTTCAGAACTTAGCTTAATTTACTGTTCCTGTTTTATTTGGCTTGCTTCTGCTCACACTGAATTCGGTGGGAATGCTGCTACTGACCGACAAAATCAGGCCTTTCAGAGGGCCAACGGAGCCTCTTTCATAAGAAATGGAACTGCACCCAGAGGAACAGAAATGCTGAATGCTTGTAACATTACACCGAAAAAGCTGTTTCCTTCTCCTCCTCTTTAAGACAGTTTAACTTCTTAGTCCATTTGCACCTTTTCTGCATGTCCGGTACCACCAATCACACAAACTTCTCTTTAAGATGCCTTCATTTTGTTGGCATCTATCACGCTTTTGGTAGGATCAGCACCTTAGACCTTGGTCCCAAACATTAACAGCCTGAGGATAAACTGGATAGCTTGCTGCTGCGGCACGCTTGTTTTGGGACTGTTTCCACCTCTGATCTCTCATTTTTCTTGTCCACATGGACTAAAAGGAGCAAGGATCGGGAAGGAATGGAAAAAATGAGGTACAGCAAAGAGAGAAAAGTGGCACCTAATTGCTGGCTCCAGAGGGAGCCTCAGAAGGAACCTGGATGAGTGCTTCTCAACCCCTCTCAGAAGAGATGAGAGAGCTGGTGTAGCATCTGAAAACAAGGCTTCCACAGCTCCTCGATGCAACCCGTGAGTGGCATGACCTGCTTGTGGGGTGGGAAGATGCTCACAGCACTTCAGCATAAGAGCTGCCATACGGAAGGTGTGGTTCACAAGTCAGGCAATCTTCTGAGTCCTTAGAGTTACCATGGCCTTCTCTCAATGAGTTGCATTATAGTGCAGTGGATATAGCACAGTTTTATCACTGAGGATAGCAGGTCAGAAGACAGACTATGAATGATATTTTGGCAAAGTCCAATCTGTAATTGTTTGTGTGAAAGCACCTAAATCTCTGCCACAAAGCACTGAAAAAAGGCTCAGCGGGAATGGGCTGACAGGAACCCATCCATTGAGGCCCTCCTGGGTTAGAGGCAGTCTCCCTCACCCTCATCCCGCTTGGGCTTAAAATCATGCAGGCACTTATCTGTGGTCCATTAAATCTTAATTGACTGGTTATCTAACCACTGAAGGACAAGAGAAGGGAAACAATCGATGCGATTTTAATCAAGAAATGGAAATAAGCATTCTCTGTTACAATTTCTCCAGTACAGCCATCTGCTTCTTTCCTCTCCGCTTCTCTGGTTTACTTCAGAAAACAGATCCACAAAGGGGTTGGGCATAGCCGGGGAGAGAGTAGCCTACAAAAGCAGTTTTGCCATCAGAGAAACCGCAACTGGAACACCATCCAGGAGACAAGGAAGCAGCCAGCCTCGGCTGGTGTCACCCAGGAGGCCCAGCACAACGCTCCCTCCCTTCTCACTGCACTGCTCTGGGGGACGCGGGCTCCTTGTTTTGCACTATTAAACCAGGAGTACACAGTATTACACCGCTGTTGTACCACTCCAACAGATGAGAGGACGCTACAAAGATGTTGGGGTACATTTGTCTATAAACAAAAAAGCAGAGACGAACGCCAGTTCTGGTCCCTCTCCACACCCCTCATCTCCAACCACTGGCCATTTAAAAACAAACAAACAAAAAAATCTTCTTACACCTGAAGTCCATTAGAAAATCTGTCCACACTAATGACCATGAAACAACATCACCAGATGACTTTGCAGCTTCACCTACACGGTTAATTTGCCATCTGAGTAAGTCATCTCTGCTAAATATTTTCATTATTATTACGTGCCCTGTAGATCAGAACAAACAGCTCTTATACAAGTCCATCTGTAAAAGTCTGGCAAATAGGTTAAACTGGAAACCAGTTAGGTACAATATTCAACCCTTTTATTTCTGTGTCCATTTATTTAGAAAGCATTCATTCGAGGAATGAAAGTTAGGACTCTTGGTACAGTACAAGGTGTCATCTATGCTACCATCCACTCTTTTTAGCAGAATGAAAGAGAAAATGCATACAGCTTTAGAATAATTTCACTTGCAATTACCTTAATCATAATAGCCACTCAAAAAATCCACTATTGGAAAACCAATGTTAAAACAATACATTGTCTATTTCCCTTGTTTGGAGCTAGAATGGAACCATGATTTTTTTAAATTAAAATTGTTAGAAAAGACATACTTTTGTAGGACCCACCTACATCGTGCAATTGTTTTAAGTAGCATCCTTAAAAATAGTGTAACAGTTTTATGTGGAAAAGGCTAGAATGTAAAGAACGATGTTCTAGCCCAGCAGCAAGACACGGGTATGGTATGATTTCCTACCACTCTGGGCATAAGCTTAAGTCATATCCACACAGCTGAGACCAAACAAATATTTAAGCCAGAACAGAAAAATGGTTTAGAATGGAGTGTAAACATAGTCAAAGAAATAGGATATACTGAGTGTTAATGCTATACAAATACCAAAGTGCACTGGCACATGTGCACTATGCAAGCACTTCTGAGTACTTGCTGGTCTGCATAAGAATTGCCTTTATTGTAGAATGGCATTAGAAACTGATACTCACCAGGTGCTTTCCTATTCTCATATCAAAGCAGCTCCTCTTTTAAAGCAGACTGGGAGACCCCAAGCACCACCTTAGGTCTTAGCTGTGGGAAAGCTGTATGAGGCTCAGGCTGTACCAGAAGTAGTTAACGGGGCACCTCACTTTTGCCCTTTCTTCATTTTCACAAGAAGTGAGATTGGGCCAGTAAGGGTCCACTGTGAACGGTACTGAACACCGTGATCCACTGCAACGCAGCAATTAAAGACATAACGGGTCTAAACAAGCACAGGCTTCCTGATGGAAGACCAGGTATTTTAGCCAGCGTACGGGAAGCAGGAAAGGAGGGCTGAAGTTCTTCTTTGTATCTTACCTTCCTAAGGAAAAATAATTTAGGCAAATACTTCTGTTTACTGCTCCGCACCTTCAACTAGATGCGCGTAAGCCCTTGTACAATATGTAACATCTTATTTTTCATTTCTCATACAGAAGCTAAGTCTGATCACAGCTTATGCAAGGAAGTGATAGAATCGCACCCAAAATAAAAGCAGTCACATTTTCACAATGTAAGTTTACACATGATTTCAACCTGAATCTAAACCTGTCACAGACTTTGTCTTAATTGCCTATTTAAATATTGTGCATTCAACCTCTGTGACACAATGAGGTTTTTATACTAGGCTAACTATGGCTATATCTCATATTTAAATTTTAATCCATGTTCTTTAACTAATAAAAGAGCTGTTTTTTTATTAGGCTCCAAGTAATTTAAATCAGCCCAAAGGACAAAAAGCTGCAGTCTTCTTGTAAAATATTACTAAAGTCTTGATAAATATCTGTATTTTTATTCTTCACTGAGGTTTGGAAGCTCAAGTTTTTCAAAATAGATCAGCCCCTTTTCAAAAAGGGCATATTCACTTATTTGTCATAGCATATAGCAGTTTATTAAATTTAAAAATTGGAAGTTAAGTTGCTTTGTGTATTATCTACATGTGTAAAAGCTATTTTCAAACAGCAGCAATAGTGTCAATTTCGGAAAAAAGAGTTATCTAAAAAAAACTACCCGTACCAAAAGGCGAGTAGGACTAAGCTTCAGTCTACTTTGCCAGTAAGTTTACAAAATAAAAGCTCATATCTGTAGTTATGCAACATCTGAGGAGGTCTTCTGGAAATGTGAACATTAGCTAGAAATCAAAGAGGTATCTAGACATGCTCCACTACTGACATAAGGAGAAAAGCCTCTTCTTTATCAGAACAGCAGTATGATGAAAATAAGTTAAAATGAAAGTAATTAAGAATTTAAACAGCCTAAGCTTATACTGAATAAGCTTTGAACAGAAAACAGCTGTATTAACTAAGAACTTTAGCTTTCTTGAGGAGAGATGAGAAGCTTATCCACTGATAATTCAAATAACAGGTACATTTTAACATTCTGAAAAGCTTCAGAGGGGTGCAGAGAACAACAATACAGACAGTTACATTTTGGCAGACAGAAGTCCACATATTTTAGAGGTGCAACAAATCATCATTTGATATCAAAGGGCCCATGTTCTGTTTTGTGTATACTGGAGCGACAAAGCACATTTTTTGGTAAAGTTTTGCAGACCCTGCTGTACTTCAAGTGCCACATGTTCTTCAAACTTGCTTAAACAGATTCCAGTTCAAATGGTCACTGTGTAAATTTCCACAAACCAAGTAACCACAAGCTGTCTGGGATGGCTCAAGGGCTTTCTGCAGAAAAGAGCATGCCTTAACCTAAAAAGACAGAAAGCTATTTCTGGGATTGTAGAAAAATTGCTGGTTTATATCACATGTTGTAAATGGAAACAACCAATCAACTTACTATTTCTGTTAAACTCAATCCATATGACTCTGTCCAGTGGAAAGAAAGAAAGAAACAAAAACCCAGGTACTGAAGGAAGAGGCTGCTATAGGCACAAACACCAAATGATGAACGAGTCCTACGTTAGAGAAAAATCTAGCATGCATCTTCAACACTGTACGCAGAAATCAAGGACAAGAAGTAACTCTTAAAAACTATACAAGGAAACGTTCCCTTCTTTTAAAAGGTATATGGAAATAATTACACTGATTAATAAAACACTGATATTCACAACCCATCTGAACTAAACTGGTTTACATCTTCAGGAAAAAAGTCAAAATAGTACAGAACATTTCTTTTTTTCTCTTAAAAAGCAGAAGGAGTGTCACACTGTCAAAGATAAACTGCTGCTGCATATAAATTTGTGTCAACCTTCTTGTGCTTTCTGATCAGGGGATACAGAACACAGGGTCATGTTTCCTGCTAAATTGGTTACAGAGTTATCAGATGCCTATACAGATCAACCTTTTTTCCTACCTAATTCATTATGGAGTTGCTACAACTATAGTAACAAGATGTAAAAGGTTCCAAGGAATTCCTGTGAGAACTACTTAGGTTATTTTATGAATCAATTTGGATTTTTCTTTAGTTCACCTATGTTCACAAGTATACACTGTATATGCACCTTTAGTATAAGGACTGCATGAAAACAGTCTCAAAAAAAAAAAAACCCATGGAAACTCAAGTGTGAGGCAGTCAGTCCCCTTCCTACTTCTGATTATTATTATTTTATTCTTTTTTAAATACCACCACTGAAGAAACCCAATGCACGATATAGTCCCCAAACCCACACCAAACTGCTTTGCTTTGCTGTGCATCTTTCCCAGCAGATTTTCACACCCGCTTCTTCAGACAGAGCATTTGGAGGCTACAGAAGCATGACTTGTACTTCTCCATCAGTCAGTTTATTTGTGCGATGTTTTTTCCAGATCTGGAAGTTTTTCAATTAGTGCTTTATGGTTCACGTTGATACTGGCTATAAGTCCTCCCTCATTGCCATCTGAGCCAGTGTAACTAATTTCTTCACCAGTCAGGGTAGTCATATGGCCACCCAATGCTCTCAACACTGCATTTCCAGCACATATGTCCCACTTCTTAATGTATGTGACATGGATATACACGTCAGCTTCTTCTTGATTCTCTTCAGCCACATCAAGGAGGGCCAACACTTTATAACCTAGAAGAAATGGGCAAAAGTAAAGGAAAAAAAAAAAAAACAGAAAAAAGTAAACTAAGTTTTCCTATTCATCATAAAGGATAAATCTACTAGTAAGTGTTAATACGCACATGCAAGATTTAGGAAAGCGTTGCCATTAATTATATCATGCCATCCACAATAATGGTGGAGGCACCAACAAACTTTGTCTGCCCTCTGACCTGTACAGAAAATTTGAAAACGGAAACACCACCTCACCTCACCTTCCCACTTTCCCCCGCACCCCTTCCCGATTTTTCCACTGCACCCCAATTAAAGCCTTGGGTATTTGGGACACATTATTTTTAGACAGCCTTTACCAATACACTACATCGACTTATCTAGACACACATTAAAAAAAAAGACCAGAACCTCAACAGTTTTGGTTATGTTCACTCACTTATTTCTCAATCTCTGTATTATGCTGAAGACTTAACTTTTTTTCCCTGCTTTTTATTACAATAGAAGGAAGATGCATATGCCACTCTAATAAAGCAGCTCAGCCCAGGGCATTCCCCTTTATCATACATTATGCAGTATAAAGTCATTGCTCAAAACAGAATGCTTTCTTTTACGTATTTTTTTCAGTATTTCAACTGTTCAGCCAATATCCTCGTTTCATTAAACTGTTCCTTTCTTTATCTTCTTATACAGAGTCAAGCCCTGCAGAAGATCTACCATAATCAGTTACACTTTCACAGTTTTTATAGTAAGACAACTTGTTTAGATTCATTGTCAAGAACCTATGGAAGACCTTGACTAAACAATCTGTAAGGGAGCTCTAGCTTTCCATACTAAATGCACAAAAACATACATTTCTGTAAAATTTAAATTTTGCATGGCTTTTCTGAGACCTTAAAACAGCTATTGCTTCACACTAGTGCCTCATACATTTGCATTCTGTCAGTAATACACACAAGGATATTGTCCAAGGTTGCAAAAAGTAAGCTAAAGCCTCTTTGGACTGAATATGAGGCAGATAAAAACAGACTTTAGTCACTTTAGACACCAGTTTTCTCTTTTGACATAAATGAAAGAAATAGTACCAAACTTCTATGGCTTTTTCTTAAAAAACACTGTTTAATTAAATTTACTACTAGTTAACTAACAACCAACGGACTCTCTTCCATGATTCTGTATTTGGTCACACAACCCTTTTTTCTCCACAGAGGCATTGGTGCCTTCAGCGAACACACATCGATGTGTTCAATGAAACGACCACAACGTTGCTGGTCCAGGCTTAGATTCACTAGCATGCTAAGTTGTGAACAGCCTGAAGCCTGAGCTAAGTTTGCACGTAGGTTTCTATACACAGGAAAATAATCTGTGTCCCTATTGCCAAGTGCTTGCTTTTAGGGATGTGAAGAGCAAAAGGTAAGAGGGAAAAAGAGGAGATGCCACAGTTATATTCTTTTGTCTAATAACAGCTATCCCGTTAAATCATTTGGAAGCATTAAAATGGATAGGATGCTTAAGGAACCAAACCTGCTCCACCAGCTGGGATTATCACAGTCTTATTTCCAAACGTCTGCCGTGCAACCTGCTCAACTTTTCCTGCATGGGAGCGGGATACAATAATCCTTGGAGTTTTCTCATTGTAGGAGGAACGTGCTTTTACGTTTGACCCGCCATCCACCATTGCCCAGGCTACAAGAGAAACACAAATGCTGCTAAGATTTACAAAAAGACAATCTCTGTTAAGTGTAAAAATAAAAGGATACTTATCTGAGAAAATGGAGTTGATGCCTCTGACTTAATTTCCCTCCCTACTGTAAAAGAGAAAGTTAGGTCTGACAGAAGGAAGGGGTGCATGCCCACACGTGCACACCAGTGGAAGACAAACAGTCCCCACCACACACACACTTTTGTGCATATGGTGTTATCCCATGCCTGACTATTCTTCTGTGATACTTCCAAAAAAACAGAGTAAGAGGGAAAAATCCCAAGTAGTAATATTTAGAACTTGCAACTGGAAAGCCACCGAAATGAAAAGGATTACTCTCAGTCAGAAACAGATCCAACATCTCCTCAAATAACCTTTTTAGAAGAACAAAAAGCCCCACTACCCCTCAAAGCAGATAGAAAAAATGTTATTGAGTCATTTTGTTCAGAAGGATGGCAATGCTAAGGAAGGGAATAGCTCAGGAGGACAGTAATACTATGGAAAACATTTGATGGTGTGTTTTGGAGGACTGGATTTAGAATACACAACCTCCCACTTGTTTCATCATGAGGTTCAAAGCCAGGCTTGGTAGGTGGCATCCCCTAACCGTTAATTTGACATTTACTTAGCAGACTAACCAGCAATTTCAACTCAGTAGAGAGCCAGATTATACGGCAACAGACTGAGTTATGAGTAATAACAATGCTGACTGCTCTTTATTGCTTTGTATTTGTATGGTAGTATTAGGAACAATCCTACTCACAACATATTGGTATTTCCAGCTTGGGAAATGAATACTCTTCACATAGAATGACAGAATGCACTGCATCTCATCTGATGACAAGTCTGAAAATTTCACACTTTGCTATTATTAAAGGAGATAAATTCTCAAAATTAAAGTGCTAAAAAAACATTTCTTCAGATAGCTGTTGATACTTGGAAAAATATGTTCCAAAACCCCCCAAGATTCTTAAAGCATATTGGAATATAGCATTGGAATATAAGCATACTTAAATGACTGGAAATTAAGTTTATATTTAAAGACAGCAAAACATTTAACACAAAATACTGAGTGGTCAGTGGGCAAAAAAAGAGAATAAAAAAAACATTTATTCAGTCTTAGTTTCAGTGCCAGAGCTACTGCATAACTTCACAACTCTAGAGGTCAGTATTGCCTAAGGGAAAATGAGAACAGAAATTCTTGTTTCAAACATATAGCATATAAGACATGAATACTAAAACTACTTTGAAGCTTTCAGAAGTGCATACACGTTGGCAAACCTGCAGCCATCCTCACGGATACATCATTAATACTAAAGAATTAATTAGTTCAGGGTTGTAGCACTAAAAACATGTCAGATAATCAATAAGGCTGCACTAGACAGTCTTGCCTGCTACATACAAACAGTTGCCATTAAGATCTTTAATCTCTCTTTGTTATTCACACTGAATAAACACCAGCTCCTGGGTTTAATATCACGGACCCAGGTTGTTCTGCTAAATGAGCAAAGTACTCTTCTGCTAAAGACTAACAGCACACATAAGGCTGGTGGTCAGTATGTGTAGATTTCATTTTCTTTGGTTTGCTGTAAGTACTCTGATTGAAGCGACCTTAATTCTTAAACATAGTTTCAATTAGTTTATTTTAAATGCATCATTTTTATGTTAAACAAGGTCAGCACTTTCCTTTGTGGTTTTATAGCACAGAACCCATTTGCAGATCTAATTCTGCGGTCTACAGCAGTGCTCTTTTGCCCCAGGTACTTTTCTCTCATTTATACATACAGATGTTCTCCCAAACATCAAATTTTAATTAACACTATGACTGAAGATGCTGGAAATATGTAAAGGCATAAAGGTACCTGTATATTTTGAGAACGGCTTGTGTATCACTCCTATTACTGGTTTACCGTTTACAGCCACGCAAACCATTGTGGTGACATACTGGCGAAGATCCTCTGCAGGCAAAATGAGAAAGTGAGCAAGTTTACAGCCAGATGCCGAGAACACAAAAAGAAAGCAGACCTGACATTAGAGAAATGTTGTTTTTTGAAGAATGGTCTACATTCTGCCTCTTACAATTACATAACTTTGTTGTATCTTCAAATAACCTTGCAGTTTTCAGAAGACTTTAAAGTCTTCAGTCTTCCAGCAATTTTTCCTGTTCAGTAGATGCTAACAGCTGTGTCTCACGCAGCATGTATTTTTATGGAAATCTGTGCTCCTGCATTCTCCCTCCTCTGCCCCACCTCCTATCCTCTATTGGTTCAAAGCTCATAATTCAAATACCAAAGAACGTTCACCTGAAAAGGTGATTGCATCAATGGAATATTCACAAAAAATCCACACTTTTCTGTTTGTTCTGTAGTACTTATCAGCAAGAATTTTAGTTGGATTGCCTTGAACTGCTTATGTGACATCTTAAAACATTTGAAAAAGGGAAAAACTGAATTATGCATGCTTTTTTGAAAAACTGTAACAATTTTTTTTTGTATCAAGTTAAATAGGGTATTCACTTGCCGTTCCCTTTAAATAAACAAACAAAAAGTATTCTGAGGTATTTAGTGTTGCCACAGTAATAACTGAAATAAAGAAATGTCTAATTCCAGCAGAATTCATAAAGGACAGTTTCCATTTATTCTAGCAATTAGTTGCAAGGGATACCAAAGTAATTTCAGAGTTGGTACATATAAAAGTAAATGCCACAGTCTAGTAACTATAGAGATTTCATTACGCAATTTGTTTAATCACACCAGCTTTGACATAATACACTTTAACAAGAGATGCCATTTTAAATACTTACTATTTTGTCTCCAGTATAAAAGGCAGACATCAGAATTACACACATGATTTGTCAACAAGAATCAGCTACCTGTGTATTCTTGTGTAGCATCTAACGGATCGATCCAGACAGTAACACTTTCTGCTGGAACCTCTTTAGGTTGTATTTTTTGTTTTATGTCTTCAGGAATACTGCGATCCCAAGAGACTGTCTCCTGATCAGCTGTATCAACACGCTCTTCGGAGTTTATCTATGGTAAGACAACAGAAGCAGCTGCATTAACTTACTAGACACAGTAACTATGGTACTCAGGAAAATTACAGGTTTGCTCATATCTTTTCTTTCTCCCTTCACCTCCAGCTACAAGTGCATGAATTCGTAATTTTTCAGCAATTCGTATGCTATTACCGCCACACAACAAGCAATGGAAAGCCACAGTCCAGAATTTCACTGCGAACCACACCACCGTTGGACTTCTTTGGCTGCAGCTCTTCCTATTGACCATTCCCATAGTATGAATCAATTTTTTTTTTTAAATTAAAAGTTAAATGCAGTGGCTTTAAAGACTACAAGCAGAACATTTGACTTTGGAGAATCATGTGGTATACAGATATAGTAGGGGTCCACTTATACAGATCAGTAGATGCAGACTGAAACGTACAGGTATTTTATCAAGAAATATTTTGCAGACTGTGGTATGACTTGGGGGAGTAGGAATCCTAAAATATATTCCTGCTTCTCGCACTGAGTTACAACTAGTAATTTAAGCACCTCAGCTGGATGTAACCATGTATTGGGTTTCTGTGGCAAGGTCTTGGTAGTGGGGGGGGCTACAGGGGTGGCTTCTGTGAGAAGTTGCTAGAAGTATTCCCTGTGTCTGCCGCTGGCCAAGGCCAAGCCAATCAGTTACAGTGGAAGGACCCCTGGGATAACATATTTAAGAAGGGA